AAAAAAAAAAAGCTGGAAGTGGCACTGTGGCTCAAGTGGTAGAGTGCTAGCCTTGAGCTGAACAGCTGATGGACAGCGCCCAGGCCCACAACCAGATCCAACAAAAAGAAAAAAGAACTATTTCTAGCCAGACACTGGTGGCTAATTCTAGCTACTGTGGAGGCTGAGATCTGAGGATCATGGTTCTAAGTACTTTTTTCTATTTTGCGCTAAGTACTTATTTTTCTTTAACTGCATTTTGGTCTTGTCACTGTTGTCTTTTACATGTGATGTTTCTATATTTTTTTATTCCAAATATTTAATGCTTTCTGTTCTCTCCTTCCTTCCTTCCTTTTGCATTAGACCCTAGAGCCACACTTCCTAGGTTTAAATCCCAATTTAACCATTTACTAGCTGTGTAAATTGAACACACCTTTCTTCTCAGAGCCCTCTTTGGTAAACTGTGGATTAAAATTGTATATTCCCAAGATGTGTTAAAAGAACTAAATAAACTTTTCTTTGTATTTTCTTTTTCTTTTCTGAAGTTACCTGCTTCAGCAGGTCTTTTCTTCCTTTAAAAACCAACACCCACACTGGCCACTAGTAGCTAACCCTCTAACCCTATTTATAACCTCGCTATCTAGGAGGCTGATACCTGGAGGATCTTAGTTCAGAGCCATCCTTGGCAGGACAGTCTGAGACTTGCCACCATTAACCAGCAAAAGCCCTAAGCTAGAGGCCTGGCCTGAGCGATGTAGCACCAGCTATGAGCAAAAAAGCTTAGCAAAAGCTTGAAGCTCTAGGTTCTGCCTGGTACCAGCACCAAAAAAGAAAAGAAAAATCAGGGCTAGCAGCGGCTAGTGGTAAGAACACTTGCATACAAGTACAAGGCCCTGTGTTCAAACCTCATTACTACAAAAAAATTTCAAGATTAATCAACGAAACTATTGTCAAAACTTTTTTTTTTTTTTTTTCCTGAACTCTGCACCTGGGCGCTGTCCCTCAGCTCTTCAGCTCAAGGCTAGTACTCTACTTGAACCACAGTGCCACTTCTGGCTTTTTCTGCTTATGTGGTGTTGAGGAATCAAACCCAGGGCCTCATGCATGCAAGGCAAGCGCTCTACTACTGAGCCACCTTCCCAGCCCCGTCAAAAAACTTTTGCGGTGCAAGGTTAAAATTTTAGTGTTTTAGGGACTGGGAAAGTACATTGCTCAGAGGTAGAATGCTTGGCTCACAGGCATGAGGCCCTGGGTTTGATTCCTCAGCACCACATAAGCAGAAAAAACCAGAAGTGGCGCTGTGGCTCAAGTGGTAGAGCGCTAGCCTTGAGTTGAAGAGCTGAGGGACAGAGCCCAGGCCCAGAGTTCAGGCCCCTCGACCCCGCCCCCCCCCGAAATTAATGTTCTACTTGGCTTTGTTGTGATTATAATATGTTTGACTAAAATACATAATTGTCCATGTTGCTGACAGATAATCCTATGGGATATGTACAAAAAAAACTAAATCTGGGCTGGGAAGGTGGCTCAGTGGTAGAGCGCTTGCCTTGCATGCATGAGGCCCTGGGTTCGAGTCTTCAGCACCACATAAGCAGAAAAAACCTGAAGTAGAGCTGTGACTCAAGTGGTAGAGGGCTAACCTTGAGCTGAAGAGCTGAGGGACAGCGCCCAGGCCCAGAGTTCAGGCCCACAA